TATATATATATATAAAGCTTGAAATTATTTTTCACATTTCCTCAAGAAAATTTGAAGTTAAGTAACTAAACTATATACACTTCAAATTTCATGTAGTTATGTGCAATAGGTTATACGATACATCTGTTTAAATTGGGTAAAATATTTCGAAGCAATACGATCTTTGTGAAAAGAGTAGTAAATGTATGAAAGTAACTCCAATACGGAGAAAAAAATTAACTTATATTTCGTTTTATATGAGACAAAGCAAAATTTTTTTCTCATTTGAAAAATAGCTATTTGCAATATTCTTATAAGTAATAAAAAAAAATCTAAATCTATAATATTTTTTATGTATTTTGTTGTATCTTTTTTGTGAGTTTTGATTATAAGAAAGACAAATCAGAAATTTAATTGAAAAGGTTTTTATGCCACTGTAATGGCCGCACAGATGATATTGTCAGCAGACTGTTGTTGGAAATATTTTACCTGTTATACAAATTATCAGTTAAATCATCTGTCCTTTGAAGGTGATATTTCATAAAGTTGCAACGTCTATAAAGTTTGTGTTATAAAAACTATGAAAGTATGTGTATAACTTATAAACGCTAGTGGTTATAAAAAAAACCTATTCGACGGAGAGAGATCTGACTGGTAAAAAATTTCATTTAAATCAAACTAAAGTTACTTTTTTGTAGATGAAAAATATCCTTTTCAAGTGAGTCCGGTAATATAGTGATCGAAGAAGTGAAGTGAATCATCAAGAGAAAATCGGAAGAAGTTTAAAGTAGGGGCCTCCCTGGCCGAGCGGTATCGCCGCTCTGTTAAGCGCTCTGTTAAGCCAAACGCTCTGTTAAGCGTGGAGGTAGCGGGCTCGATTCCCGCCGTAACCCTGGATGTATTCTTTGTGATGTCTTTCTCTGAATTGTTCTATCTGTATTTTCTACTTGACAATGACTTATAAGCCTATATTGAGCACACAAGTCAGCAAATGTATGTAATTTCAATAAGTCAAATCAAGTTTAAAGTAACACAAAATTGAGAAAAAAAAATTAGCTCTATTCATTTCATTAAATTCTAATGACATTTGATAAGCTGAAGACAACAATATTTCAATGACCGAAGAGTTACATAGTTTATTGGGTGCATAAGTTAAATTTCTTTGGTTACTATCTTAAGCAACTACACTGTAAAAAATTTCGAGCTATGCTGCACCGAACATTGGCATTCATTTGCTGGCTACATAATTTGGCGTTCAGCTTTACTATATATTGTTGCTTTCTCTAGCTCCAAACAACGAGAGAAGGTTGCACCAAATATCAGGGTTTTGAAGGGAAATAAAAGCGAGGAAGGTTGCACCATTATTCGGTATTTTTGAAGGGAAATAAAAGCGAGGAAGGTTGCACCATTATTAGGTATTTTTATAGTGTTAAACAGTAGGGTAAGATTGCACCAATATTAAGTATTTTTAAAGGGCCAAAAAGCAGAGAAAGTTAGCATCATTATTAAGTATTTATAAAGCCCTCAAAAGTAGGAGAAGATTGCACGATGGATTGATATTTTAGTAATCCCAAATTAGGAGGTTCTGCCATAAGAAGGTTATTTACTGAAACCAAATATGTATCAGTTAGACAATACTGTAACTTTTCCTTATTATTTGGCATGACATTTATATAAATCAAATTTGAATTTTATATATATGTATATATATATATGCTTTTGAGTGCTTTATAAATACTTAATAATGATGCTAACTGTCTCTGCTTTTGGCGCTTTAATATCTATATATGTGTATATATATTTGTTTGCGAAAGTAATACTTCTATTTTTAAATATTAAAATTCTCTTTAAATACATAGTTATAATAATTTGCTTCTGTCTAGTATTTATATTCTTTTTTATATTTTATTCTTTAAAACATTAATGGTACTTATTCTATAGTGTCTGTTTTTCTTTCTTCAAATTAAAAACTTCTTCAAAAGAATTTTAATACTTTAAAATTGAAAAATTATAATTTACAAGCAAATTTTATATGAAAGAGTAGACAAATATTGATCATCACCACCCAATGTCTAATTAGAGAAAAATCCCTACATTATTTGCATTTTCGAAGGGAAATAATTAATTTGACGTAAATTTAAAAATATAAAAATACCTATATAACTTGGAAATAATAATGAAAAAATGACCACATCCAGATCAATATTCAAGCATAATTTATTCATTTTTAATCACTGATATTTATATACATAGACAAAATGATATACGATACAAAATAATAATCTTAAAAGTTAAATATGTAGATTATTTTTTTCATACATATTACAGCATTTATAAGATGAATACAAAATATTTACACAAAAATATGGCAGATAAGTATGTTTTTGTTATTTACAGTTATGAAATTTGGGATTATCTGAAAATAATTTTCAATTCCCTGATCCGCATTAAAAATTACAATTTAACTAAATTACTTTTTCGAAAACAAATTTTACTAATTTATAAAAAGATTAAAAATTCCCTCAGTTGGGAAAAAATTACTGTCATTTCTTTACAAATTAATAAATAGTGGTGAGTATTTAAGAATAATCAATGTTTATATATCTTTACGATTTATGTAATTTTCATATATCCGGTTACCAATAAGATAAGATAGATGAAGTAAAATGCATAACTTGAGCAAAAATTTATTAAACTAGAAATCTGTAAATAAGAAAAAACTGATGTTTTTTGAGCTGAGGGTGTACACAGTAACAGCATAAAAGAAACACAGTCAAAAGGTTTTTTCAGCTAAGCAGTATAAGATTCTAACTATATTCCTGTTATTCCTCAAACTAAGGACTTCAGATACGAATTTTATGATTCAGATTTAAAAATGTACTAATGATCAAATAAAAGATGTTTGGGAATGACAACACTGTCATTCCCATATCTATATTCCGACAGAGGAATCTAAAAGATTTTCTGGTGCTATTATTTTAATTACATTACATTTCTTTAGTTGATAACCTCTTATGTGAAAAACATAACAAGATTTATAGAGATTACACAAAAATAAAACTTTGGTGCCTTTGCACAAAATAATAATAATTTTTCCAAATATAGGTTCTTCTTTTTCAAAACTTAAAACTACACACATTCCTTGTTTGTAAGCTATTCCTGATACTAGAGACTTTTGAAGTTCGGAAAAACTGTTCATAGCCTTCTAAAATGCCGGTGATTTTTGCAGAATAAATATTTTTATCGAGAGGTTTTGCATTGGTAATATAAAATTTTTTTCCTAAGACCCTTTCTTGACTATTATAAAAATATTATAGCTGTTGGTGCCTTTGTGCTAATGTAAGAGGTAAATTTTTGGTATTTTTAGAAGCCTGGGCAACACGTTTAAAATACAAATGCTTTGCTTCAAATCTCATAGACCATAAATGTACAAGAAGGCCGAATTCTAAAATAAGTCATGGGTAGTGCACTAAAAAATGGTGTCTTGGTTTTAACTTAGTTTCTTTAAATATTTGTGTAAACATAGTATGATGTTCATAAATTAGATCCTTTAACAAAGACACATAATCAGTATTTATGACTGGAGACAAAATAATATCTACAATATCTTTCAAAATTAATAGAAATTCCCAAACAATTTCATTTTCCGGGACAAAGATACCTATCATTAAAGGTAAGAATCTAAGAAGAGACCACATACGGGAAGCTGGCATTTGAATTCCTTTTGCAAAGTTTACTTTTACGTCATATGGTCTATAGGGTTTATCATTAAAACCAAATTTCTATTTAATAAAGGAAGACTAATAAATTTACTTTTAATTAAACCACTAATTATTAGAGCTAATTCTAATGGAACAATACCCTCAAGTAGATCGTGCATAGCATCAGGTGGAAGCATAGTACTAGTATGAAAATATCTTAAATCATTCATAGGAGAGTTAAATTTATATCCATACAAATTTATGTAGCTATTATCTACATTTATGAGGTTAATTTGGCTTTCATGAGTTTGTTTTGTACGTCGTGTAAAATACTTTTCCTTAAAATTACTTTCCATGGCATTATATGTGGCCATACAAAATCCACATAAACGACCTGTACTGCTAGAAAAATTTGTTGTATAACTCCCTATTTCATGCAATGCCAAATTGTCTCCAACAATTGACACTAAAGAACCCCTTACTATTCCTGATATACCAGCAATATTTATACCTGTGTCTTCTAAAAGTTTTATATCCTTTAAAAGAGGTGTCAAAATGGGTCTGAATCCATACTCCTTAATATCTGATCTTTTACAAATGATGGCTAATTGCATATCACAAACAGTTGATCTAAAAGTAAATGGCAAATTGGCAATAGTATAATAAAACGCAGTTAACTTGTGTCTAGCTTGATTACCCCTTAAAGGATTAGTTACAAGGAAATCATCTAGGTACAAAATTATCTGAATATTTGGATATTCTTTAAATAAATTATTTTGTTTAAATATGCTGTCATCTTGAATATCACAAAGAAGAGAATTTTGAGTTTCATAAGGCATTAAAATGTATTTTAGTACTTCCCTATTCTTACAAAATGCTTTTAAATGATCAATTATAGGAATATATTGAAAAGATTTTCCACTACTTAATTTATATTCAACTGGAAATATATTTCCATAGCTCATTAATTTTTTACGAAGATGGGGGGATTTCATGGAATCGAGAGCAATATCTGTTTCATTAATGTGAAAATCTGTTTGAAGTGATGATTCATTTATGTTATTTTCCCTTAAGATGCGTGATATATCAGATTTTATGACATTCTTGTATATCTTTTATTCCGAGAACTATCTCGTTTACTATTGAAAGTGGTAACATAAAATGTTCTTGTAATTTTAAAATAAATATTGAAACTTTATGTTGTAAGTCACTTGACTGAGAGTTGAAAGATTCATCAAAATTTCTGACATCGTCAATTTCAGATATATCATGAGAAACTGTTTGTGACCCATCCACAGGCTTAGAATCAACTAGAAATGTNAAAGGCGTGGCTTTGCTTCAGTTTCAGCCCAATTGTGGGAGGGGCAGAAAGTTAACCACAACTTTAGAATGCTTAATAAATTTCATCCAACCATTGTTTAACAAAATGTGAATGAAGTGATAGTATTTGTTTTTTGATTTTTGTTTCTTTATTGAGGTGCTGTGAAAAAAAGTAACGGAATGATCAATTGATTAAAACGAAGCAAAATGAATTCAACTTTTCAGCAAATTTAAGGAGAAAAAAAAAAAAAAAAAAAACAATTTTACGTTGTTTTAAGTTCGAGGCTGTAGGTTAGAGTTGTAAGAATATTTATTATAAGACTCATTAATAAAATATATTTAAGGGGAGTCATTAATTACTATTCAAATATTAAAAAAAATTTAAAAAAAAATTTTTTTTTTTCCATTTCTTTCCTTTTTAAAGTGAATTATTGTCTATTAAAGGTAGACTTATTCCTCGGGGTCATTTTTTAATAATGAAATTGGATGACAGTCTTATTAGTTTTGAATTGTCAGACTAATTCTGTGAATATAAATCAGAAATAAACATTAATTTCACCCCTTTTTACGTACTTCAACATTGGGATTTGTTATTGATTAATGTCCTCTTAATATTCAGAGATGGTTCCAAAAATACATTATAAACTTTTGGGAATTATTAGTAAGAATTCGTGTTCTTATTTATTTTCGAATGCGACCGCTTTGATATTTTGGTATTAATATAACTAAAGATTTAGAGATTAAAAAGTGGTTATTTTTTAAAACATTGTGCTAAATCTAAAATAAAAAGGGGAAAAAAAACATTTTTAATTGATTTCACTATGTTTAATTTAAATACACAATTTAAAAAAAAAATTATAACATTGGCATTAATGAGTTAATTTGGTAATTTATAAAACATTTGAATTTCTAAAATAACTTTAACCGTTTAAACCCTAACCGTTTGACTCCAAAATTAATGTATTTACTTGTCAAAAAAAATTTTTCAAAGAGAGAGAAAAGGATATTATTTGGTTCAATGGTTGAATTCTAAAGTGTTGAATTCTAAATGATAAAGATTTCATTCAGATTTTAAAACGAATTTTTCAACCCTCTGTGCATCATAATAATTTCACAGCACTACACTATGAACTCCTTGTATGTACTTTAAAGACAGTTTTTAGGGTGAAAAAGAAGTTTTATCTATTTATTTCTTCAATTTAAAGTTTTGTATGCTGTCAGCTTGGTTTCACATATAAATAAGTGTGGTTACATTGATGAATATTGAATAATGAAATAATGTTGGTGCTGCCTTTTTATAATTTGAACTTGTTAAAATTCAAATTTTTAAAAAAATTATAATAACAGTAAAAAATAAATAAAAAAATATGAATTTAGAGGAGAAATGGTATTTTTTTTTTGTTTTTGAGTTTTCGACAGCAAGTGTAAAATAGTTTTCTAATAATATTGTGAAAGCTTGAATTTTTATCTTTATTTTCCTTTATTTATCTATTTTCAGTTGTTGTAGTAGATACTTCACATGTTATATAGCTTATGACTATGACATATTAAGCGAAAATAAATTGTGCCCACAAACTTTAGACCTCCACCTAGGATGCTTTTGTTTTATTTCATAATTCGTCAAAATGTCGTTTTTAAGTTCTGTATGTGTAGGCGGATTCCTCTCCTTTCTGCAGTGATGAGTTAAAATAAAACAGCTGTACAATTCCGTTACGCGATTATTTTATACATCATTCAAAGATGAATCTTATATTTCCTAAATTATAAATTGATAGAAATTAATTGCATCAACAAGCATCGTGCATTATTTATTCATATATCGAAGAAAAAATCATTGTATCTACACTCTGAAGCAGACCCGGTTAATGTTGGACCATAATATCGGATCCTTTGAACAATAATACGGTACAAATTTGCTGCATACATACCAACCATTTCTTTGCACATGTTGAAACGTAACTATTATGCAGTCATCCTAATGAAACAATTTTTTTCACAATAATCTTGCGGCGCTAAAAGGTTGCAGGAAACTTGAACGATTCTACGCGTTTCAAAATATCGTACAGCGTTTGCTATTTCATAAAGAATTAGTACAACCTCAAAAATAAAAAAAAGGAAAAACGGTTTTACAATAAATCATAATAAGGCGCAAGTTTTCTGCAACCTTAATAAAGTGCTGAATCTTGTTTCCGTACACGTTGAACCATAGTATCGTGCAATTATGCTTACAAAAGAAAGAGTTGTACTGCTATAGGATTTACCTTTGCACCATATTACGGAAGGTTGCTGCAAACTTGAACAATAAAAGATTCCACGTTTTTCAAAATGTCGTGTTTTTTTTTTTCTAATATAGTATGCGCTTTCAATTAAATCGGTTCAACTTTGAACCATAATTAGTTGCAAATTTTCTGAAGCCTTAACAAAGTGTGAAGTTGAACCATGTTCTAGTCAAACCATAATATAGTGTAATCAATGATTTAATTTACGCGATACTATGGGCTTAAAATAGCAATTTTGTATGCATTCAAAAGCGGCATGACATCGGGGCAGCAAATTTGAAGATGCAATTGATTGTAATTAAAGCTAGTTGCAATTGTGGTGTGTAGTTTTAACTTAGTAGCGATAATCATTCTCGTTTAATTTTGCTTCTTTCTTAAATTTTTAGCGAATTAAAACTAACTGTAAGGCCTTGCAGTACTTACTCATTTATTCATACAGCACTACATCCTGTTGTAAGCCTTGGCCTGCTGAACAATATCGTTCCAAACCTTCCAATTTTTGGCTTTTAACTTCTAGTTTTTTACCTTCAAAGCGGTTAGATCTTTGTTGGAATCGTCCAATCATCACTTTTTCGGTGTTTCACTTAGCCTCCTTTTGAAAGGTTTCCATTTTAAATGTTTTGTTTAATTTCTATTATAATTTAATCTTTCAATGTGCCCCAACCATGCCAAACGTATGGATTTAATAAATCGAACTATGTTTTTCGTCTGATTAAATGGTCAGTTCACTATTGTCTCTTATTCTCCACTCTCTACTATTTACTCTCAATACTGATAAATTGTTGCTGTTGATTTCATGACACTATGAGTTGTCAAATTTCAATTATTTGTTTAATAATAATTCAAAAATGTTTTGAATTAAAAGTAATTTTTGAATATACATAGAATTCTGATTTTGAAATTATGTGTGCATTGTTAAAATCCTCAGCGGGGAAAAATATTTTCCAATTTCTTTCAAAATTCATTATTGATGTCCTCATTTGCTCAAATACTTTTAAAAATTGCATCACAGCAAAGATGATATATTGTAAGCCGTTCTAAAAATTTCTGCCAGATTCAAACTCAAAGTATTATTGATTTCAGCACATTTCCTCCACCCTAAGTAAAAAAGTATCTAAAAAAGATATATATGCAAGCATTAAAAAAGACAAAACTCTTAGAACTGGAATAGTATATATAAAGTTAATTGTAAAAATAAAATACAAGAACTCAAAAACATATGAACATTAAAATTAATAGAACTTTAAACAGTAAAATGTAGAAAATTGAAATTAAAAAAGAGAAATATAACAATTGGAAAATAAGCATGAAAAAATATAAAAATTAAATTAGTTACCGACCTTTGCACTTTCTTTTAATTGCTCACCCAATTTATTAAGATTTTTGATCATTAGCGGTACTCATTTCTTGGAAGTGGAAGCTATACAACACGCCCCTCCCGATTTTTATTTTATTTTATGCATCATTTTTTTTAAAGAAAGAAGAAAAAAAAAAGTAAAGAAAAAGCTAATCTAAAAGCGTAAAGCTTTTCTCACATATTTAATCTTTAACCTTCTGAGGACCTGTTTTGTATTCTTTACGACTTGGATGCAATTTACAATTGGGCGTCCATAATCTAGAAGACTATGTTAGTATCATATCCTTATAAAATACAATTTACGTCACCCTCTACCCCAGTCTCGTTGACAAATCAGCTTATGCTCTAATGAAGAAGGGGCGAGGTTTTTTTTTTTTAGGGTAATGAAGAATATAATATTTTTGAGGGGGGTAATCCACAGGTAATTATCTAGATGACAATTTCATCGTTCCCTTCTAAAATCCTTTGAGTTATGATTTTGGAGAAGAAAAAAAATTAAGTTTTATTTCACAGAATGAATCTTAAAACACGCACCACTATAATTGTCCGTGGAAAGATCGTTAAGTGGTACGCAAAGGGAATAAAAGATTTTTGGTTTACAATTTCATAAAAAAAATTAAGTTAAATTAAATTAATTAACTGTTATGTGTGCAGTTTTTAGAGCAAAACATCATCGCCAAAGGAACATCTTTTAAGTTAGGATGAGTACTAAATTTCGAAAAAATGGTGAGTTAGAAAAAAGAAGAAGGAAAAATATTGTGAATAACATAATTAATAAAAAAAAAAATTAAAAGAAAATTTTGACACCCTTCAAAGAGGAATATAATTTTTAAAAAAATGCAGTTTAAATTTGTACTCGATCATTAAGGAAAAAAACTTTGTGTCAGAAACCGAATGATTTGAAAAAAGTCTTATGTTAAGAGAAAACTGCTTTATAAAATTTGTAGATGCAAGCAGTAAACAGTGAAGAGCCTGATTATCACCTAGACCTCGACCCAATACGACTGAGTCAAAGCACCCATGATTTGAGAAAGGACCACAAATATCAACGAAAAATCATCACAAATTATTGCTATTTAAAAAATAAAAAAAAGTGATTTTTTTCAAATCTAGAAGGGAAAAAAATTAAAGAATGCAATATTTATTTAAAATATTCTTTACATAGTGATCATGTAAACATTGCTAATGGCTTTAAGCCTTAAA